TTGACAGGTCAATTTTTAAGCTAGAGGGCTCAAAATCAATACAGTTCTTCCTTTTTATGATACAAACTTACAATAAAAATTTGAGCCTTCTACCTTAAACCGTTCTCGAGTTATCGTGCGAACAGACAGACAGACACACAGACAGACGCGAAACTTTTTGATCATCACTGGAGTAATAGGCTTCGCTATCGCTCAGCCAATCAAACTGAAACCCCAAGGAACACAATTAGTGACTTTTGGGGCCGAAGGCCCATTTACGACTGTGCCCTTTGCCCGATTCGGGTGTCAGCGCCGCAGGCCTAGGTATATGTATGCCAGGCGCGTCGCAGCGTAACAGTGTTTCGTGAGATATCGCGAAGCCTGTTACGCGAGACGTGGTCTGGCGTACATCTACCTAGTAATAAGCGTACCTCATTTTGAGGACCATTTGGTATGTTTCAAAAAATGTGTCAACGGTAAGGGGCAACCATTTTTTGCAATTCATGCGCGCATGGTCTTAAAACAATACCCTGCCCTGGGATTCCCAGGATCTTTCCTCATTTTCCAGAGGAATTGGAAGAGTCCCAGAAAGATGTCCTGCTTTTCCCAGTAGGTCTCCTGGGAATCCCGGGACAAGGTTTCGCCGTGAGGTGCCCCTCCAATAAAACCTGGAACTCATCATTTCAGATTTTGTGGTTATTGATGCAACCTGAGTTTGCTAAATGCAAGTTGGAAGTTTAACTACGCAATTAATACATATTCACAAATTTTATGGGCATTCGGGTGCCTCTATGAGAGAGACACCCATTAGTACCCATCATATACGGGTAGGCCCGAGGGGTCTGCAACTCGTATAATCAAAAGTACACGACCCTATAATCACTTATAATCACGTCTATAATCCATAATCTTTTATAATCATTATCTATAATCTATAATCATTCTATACTCTTATTATTTCTTATAATCTTTTGTATAATCTGTGACATTTTTGTATAAAATAACTTCACAAGGTCAAAATATCACTAGTAAATGAAGAAAGAGAACTATCTGGGGAGCTGGGAGCGATGCTCTGGACAAGTCTGACCGAGTGTATGAGATTTGTTCTTTCCCTAATCCACCAAAAGTTTCGAGTCTGGCAACCGATTTTGGGTTTTGACTCGAAAAGAAAGGGTATTCATGAAGTATGATCCCACTCCAAATCTTAACTCTGAGTCTCAAACGGTTTAGGAGATATAAATACCCAAAATTTTGAGGCAAAAACTTCGTATTTGAGTGGGGGTATAGGTAATACCCTATGCATCTTTGCAATAAAAACAAAACTGACTACACCATTGGAAAGAGAATTGAAAACTGATTCCAAACCAAGGTAAAGATTGGATTTTTGTTTCCTACCCTTCGATCAAATATATCAAAAGATTTTAGCAGAATATCGTAACTCTCATAACAAAAATAGATAGTGTTTAATTGTCAC